GGCGAGGATGATTATGACATGTATGTTTTTTGACTGTAAGATATTTAGTGTATAGTTTTTTTTGGCATGCTTTGTATTTGTATCTGTATCTGTACCTTATTTCAAGGGCAATTTCGAGGAATAAAATAATACTACGTTACTCTGAGGAGATGGAGTGATTTGCTTCGCACGTCTGGAGAAAGAGTTCGAGTTTAGATTACTATCTGAATTTTTGCCCTTTAGATCTACCGTCGATTATTCCTATCTAGACATCCGCTCGCCGAACGAGTTACCTTTTCCTGGTTAAATGACGCATCAAAACGGAAACTCGCGAAATAATAAAGATGGACAGAAGTGAAAGCGTAACGTTCCTTCAACTGACTGGCTACGAGGATTTAGTAGCCCTTGTGAGGTAAGATAGCTCATGTGGTGAAGTTGAATCCTATTCGTCACCATCCTCAAGTGATGAGGAGCCACAGGAGGCAAGTCTTTCGGTAAGCGAAGCCGAACAGACCCGGGATTTCCCAGTGTGGCAAGACAATCTCTCCAATGAACCGGTGGTCATAAGACGGAGCGTACAACTTTAGGTCGATAGTTCTATCAGGGAGGTCAGGTTCAGCACACCAAATGCTTCTGCGGTGTTGGCTTCGCCCCTCTATCTCTATTGGCGCTCCGAAGGACATGAGAATATTTCCCTTGGGAATCGATGGACCATTCTGGATTACTTGAATTATGCTTCCGAGTTCCCGCTTATCCTTCGAAATGCGGTCATCACTATCTATGTCTTCAAGCGGGGCCCAAGCAGTATCTATAACTCCCCAGCGCGGAACCTTATCAATATGCTAGATCCTTATATCATCTTGCCACGAACTAATGTCTCTGCAACGTTTCTTAACCTTATTCAAGCAACTTTCCTCCTCTTCAGTATTGAACTTCATCCATAATGTCCCATCTTCACATAAAAACTCCCAAGCGAATCGATGGGATCGTCTCGGTTGTCCCGGTTGTTCCAGTTGTCCCCACGGCGTCGCCCTATGCTCTTCATAGATCTCTTGGAATTCGGGTATAGTAAGCCCTTCTCCGCAGTAAACTTCCCACTCCTCGATGCTAAAGCTCTCATCAGGCATTTCAAATGCTCTCACAAAGCGGATGCGGATAGGCTGGCCTGGTGTACCTAGCGATATTCTCTTCCAACTAGCATTCTTGTCTGTGTGAGATTGTTTAATGGCATTCTCTCCCTCAGTTGTTGCATAATAGGGTACTGGCTTGACTGGATGAGACCCGGAAACCCGATCAAAATATTTGAAAGTGGATTTTTCTCCTCGCACGGGGAGGTCAGGTAATATGCGGTTTAGGAAGGGATTTATCTTCTGTGTGCTATTTGAATTCATTGAAATAGGATGGAGGTGTAGCATGGCCTGGATCCGAGGACTCCCGGATATAACGGACTGGAAGGATTTGCAGACCCTCAGGCAGCGTAGGATCACTCGAGGTGGAAGATGAAGGAAGATAAGCTCGACGAGCTCGTTAGGCAGAGGGATCCTGTATGCTGGTTGTTCATTTTTCACTCGTTTGACCTGAGGTGCAATCGTTTGAGAATCCGTCTCGAGGGGTCTCTTTGGTCGGCCTGTGCGAAGCAACGATATGAGAAGAGGCATTGTGGACAGTGTTAATTGAGGACGAGGGAAGGAAGGTGGATTACGATGGATGGGGGAAAACCCACCGTGCCGGAAATCCAAGGGGTACTTTGACTTCGAGCAGCTTAAAACTTGTGCACACAACGAATATTGCCATAATTCCTCTAATTATGTTTTGGGCATCATCGGCAAATTGTGCAGGGAGCAACAGCCACATCACGCTAGCTCTTCTCAGTATTAATTTTGGCGCTTTGAGGACTGACAACGTGCTATCGATCTCAATTAACCTGTCAATGAAGTCCCTACACATAGATTTACTATAGAAATGTTGACTCTGTTTTGCATATATTTCTGGTTGTTATATGGTGTTATCTTACTACAAACCAACTACATCTCTCATCTGAGCTTCGTTCCTACTTGCGATACCATCGGGTTAACTATCAAAGCCTGCTGGGATTAGACGCTCAACTCGCAACTTTGGGCTTGTCTTTGCTGACACTGCTTAGTTCGTGACGGTCTACACCACGATTTCGGCGCTGGTCACACTAAAGGGACATTTAAGGTTACAAAGATGGCCATGGAAATTTCCAGCTCGAGACCCCGACAAAAGATGGCGCCGCGGGTGGCATTTGGATGCTGGGCCCTGTGTGGAGTAAGAAAGTCGGGCCGTACGGTATGCTAGGAAAGAAGCGGCTCCCCGGGTTGTCACTCGAGGTTCAGGATTTGCCGGAGTTGGATGCGATGTGTATCAGTCATGATCACGATAATCATTTGGATAGCGAGATGTTGAGGCAGGTGAGGATAGCTGGAGGGGAGCGCGTGAGGCCCTTTGTGCCCTTTGAGGATCAAGAAGGTGCTTGTAGGCCGGGGTTAGGGATTCGGATGGAGGAGGTTATGAAGTTGGATTGATGGTGTGGTGGGCGTTTGGAGGTTGGGGGGGATTGGGGGAATTGGGGCGTTGGATCTGGAGTGCCTGCTTGCGTATAATGGGAGTTGGAGGACGCCGTGGGTTTTTTTGGGACGCTGAAGTGTAGTCGATTTATCTAGGAGGGGGCGGGAGGGGGAGTGGATCCTATTACTGGGGGCTTGGGGGATGGTCGGGAGGATATGGGGAAGATATTATACTTCAATAGTAAATTTTCTTTGCCTTCGGGATTTGAGGTCATCACAGTGGTTATTCTAGGAGATACAGGATATTGCCGTGTCACATCTGATACTGAGCCCCCCATGCTCATTCTCTCGTCCCTCTTTGTTTGCTTTCGTTGGGATAGGTCAACTATATGGCCTTTTTGATTGAGCGCTCCTCCCTATTGGTTGATGACTACCTTTGGCTTCCACCAATGCACTTTGAGATTGCAGTTTAATCTAAACGCTCTTATCATGTGAGCGGCTCGGCTTTTTTCTCAAGTTTCATCTCTTATGATATGTCAGAGTGTTCAGGGTCTGAGCGTCTCAATAAGCTCCTTACCCTTGGCCTTGACGAACCTTCAGGTTGACTAAGGGAAGCTTTTCTCCAATCTAAGCAGCATCTCGTGAACAGGTAAGTACTAAACGTGGTAACAATATATACAGGCCCAGGAATTTTAACATGAAAATAGGTACACTCAAGAAGGGAAAGTTCAGATAGCCATTTAGTCGAAAGCACAAACATGACCGAAATAGTCCTACCCTCGATGCTCAATTTTGGTGCAACCATGGCTCCGGCTGACGAGCGCCCCCAATGCCTCGTCACCTCTCAAACAATTTCTTTGCTGCTTTTTCTGCTTTTTGGTCCGCTTCATGCTGTCTTCTTTCTAGGTTTGCCTTTTCGTAGGTCATATCTTCCTTCCTCTTTTTGAGTCGCTCCATTTCCGCATTCTTTGTTTCTGTCTCAGTTTTCAAAACTTTTAGTTCTATTTCCTCGTCCGTAGTTAACCCTTCCTTCTCCTTCTTTATCTCTAGGTCGGACGTCTTCTTCGCCTTCTCATCCAGAATGGTTTGGCACTCCCTGATGGCGAGTCCGTTGTTTTGAATCTCACCTTGCTGCCTGACCGATCTCCGATTCAACAGAGCATATTGCAGAGACGCTTCTAAGAAGACCGCAGGCCCAGATTGAAGATCCATCTTCAAGGCCTCAGTCAAGCGCAACTGAATCCCCCGTTTGAAACCCGACCAAGCTCTATTCATAGCCTCCTGGTCACCAGCTGAGTCCGCGAGCAAGTGTGAGCCTTCATACTCTTCCCTTCGGACATCTACGACGGTATCTATCAACGGCCTAAGCTGAGTCTCGAGAGAATTCTCAATTTGCATGTTTGCAGCTGCTTTGACTGCATCACACCGACCCTTTAGGTCAGCGTCGTTGTCGAATTGAGAGGTAGATTGAGCAGGATCATATTGGGTTATCAGAGCCTCATATGTCTCATTCTGGAGAACACCGTCAAGATTGGCCTTGATTTTAGTTTGCAGATCATCCGTGATCTTGTCTACCATCCAAGAGCGTGCAGCCAGGGCTTCCTTGGTGTCTTGATCTGCTTTCCCGCGGAGGAAACTTTGGAACATTTGGAGGCCTTTTTTCATATGTTCCTGGGATCCCTTTTCGACTTTGTCCAGTTTCATGGCATACCGGATCGCCGCAAGGGCAGCTAAGAGGCTAAACAGATTCAACCCACAGATTGTTGTGTTAATGATACTGTCAGTGCTGAAATCAGTGTCTGATCTCAACATTTGACCTGTAGGTGTTTTCCAATCATTGTCCGCTCTCCACCGGCCGTCTTCATCCGTGGACTTTTCGGCGGTAGCGCCAACCATCTGCCTCCGTCGAGTGTATTGCAAGTAGTCTCCGACCCTGATTTTACCTGCAAAAACGGCTGTAGCACCGAGGGAGTCTACCACCGTACCGTTAAATGACAGCGTGATGAAATTGGTGGCAGCATCCAGGGCGGCTTTGAACACAACATTGAACTTCCGATTACTACGAGACCATTCAACGTGTGTCTCAGAGGATTCTCTGTCCAGAGTAACCACCGGTAAAGACTTCTCTCCTTCATGCAAGATCTCGCCAGTGACCGGATGCACGACGATCATCTCGCCTTCATCTGCTAGTGGAACCGATACAGTGTAGAGGCCTCCGAATAACCGGTGCTCAACTGGTTCATTAGGAAACACCTTTTTTCCCGGCCCTGGTGGCTTCTGAGGGTCAAGCAGCGACTCTAGATCAACATGCAAAGGACCTCCGAAATCCTCAGTCGTGAATTGCGGATAATCGTAGCTCTTGAATATTTCTGCCACTCGAGTGGTCGAGTCACCAGCGTCCGAAGCCAAAGCATTGACCAGGTCACCATACATAGGAGGCATAGGATCCGACAGGAGGTAGTGGACAAAAGCTTTGACGTCTTTAGGGTCTTTTGAGTCCGTAGTGGTTTGATGGTCTTGTTGAATTGCTTGCACCGGAGTCGAAAGAGAAAATGGAATAATTTCCTGCCCCTCCCTCAACTTTCCGGTCAAGATGAAATCTCGAGGGGTAGCAAAGGTTCCGTGTCCGAACCCACCGCTATCGAAGCAATGCTTTACAGGGAACAAAACGTCCGTAATCTGAGCGTAGTCGAGTACCAGAGCGGCGTTCGAGAGTGGATTCGGCGGAACCTTTGGGTACTGGCTGAACTCGTACGGTTTGTTGCTGATCTTGCACCAAGCCTGATCGAATGAGAGGCGAAGCACCACCTGATTCGGGTACTTTTGAGTGTCATCAGAGGAGCTCCATTGACCTGTGCCTTTGATCTCAAATGTAGCTTTCATTTTGCCGTCATCGAATATGTTGTTAGTGTCTCCACCAGAATAGACGACGTCTTTATACCACCAATATATGTCTGCCTCGCTATTATATGAGACGGAGACATCCGCAGCAGAACCGATGCTGAAGAGCGCTGGAGAGCTGTTCATGTCGAAAGAGCATCTGTCGTAGTGCTCCCTCCGATTAGCGTGTATCCTGCGATTATACCCCGGAATTTCGACGTGAGAATTCATCAGCTTCATTTTGACAACCAGGCCGGCCGCTATGCAAACACTTAGCAAGCGAGGAGATTTTACCGTGGAACGGAATACTAACCATCTGTTTCTTCTAGATTTCCGCAAATCTTTAAGGATGAGAGTGCGTTCTGTAACGTCCCTTAGCTTTCCACCGCATATAAAACCGAATAACGGGGCTTACTTCGACGAATTTCATCATCAAATGGCGGCTGAAAATGATGCTGGCGTTGCAGCCAGCAGGTATTGGATTCAGTACTTTTTGGCCATCGGGGCGGAACTGTAGAGGGCTCTGGGCAGAGGGTTCCTGTCCATCATCACCTGACCCTATTACCCCGATCCAAATACACAAGGCCGAACCACTGATCGAAAAGCAGAAACGGGAAGGGTACAGAGTCATATGAGCGTTAGACGTATTGTCAATCAGCACCCTTGACTGCCGCAATGAACCCAAATAGAAACGAGTATGGTTGTTTTGGAAGAGGGTTTTGATCTTCTGGCAGATGTTTTGGTGCATTGGTTTCAGGATTGAAACCGACTCAATCTCTGCCTCTACTTTCTTGAAGTCGAACGAGAAGGCCCACCACTGATTTGACTCTTCATGATTGAGTATCTGGATTGTGTTTGCAGCCACGGTAGACTTTGAATTCGGCGAAAGGTCGGCAAATCGGTTTCCTCTCGGACCTATGGCATATGTTCCTTGAATCGCAACGACAGGGGTCATAAGAATGAGGTTCGAGACTTCCGGGAAGTGAGATAAAGTTCCTGAGGGATCATTCTCGTTTCGCCATGTGCAGTCTTTGATCGGAAATGAAAGGCGCACTTTGTCGCTATTATTTGGGACGGATAAGGTGGGCGGCGAAAGTTGTAAGGACATCTCAGTCTTGGAGATTTTCCCAAAGATATCTGAAATAATTAGAAAACAAATCCTCTCCAGTTCACAATCCTTCAGCACATCGCACATACCAGGTTCTTCGGACCCATCAGTCCATTTCAAGGGATCAAGAAGACCGGCTTGAGACACCTGTTTGTTAAGCGTCGTCGTAATGGTACTCAGATCATAGGACACTAGCACATCCCAACCATTCAGCGTGCTATGATCTTTCATTTTATCGACCAAGTCGTTTAATTTGCACTGCGCCATCTTGGGTTTGTTTGAAATTGCTGTTAAGAGTGACGGTTATCGTGAGTCGAGAGTGAATGTATGAGAGTGATTAGGGTAAGAATGCAAAGACGGGGGAGGATTTTAGTCATGCTAGATAATAACTCTTTTATAAAACCTTACACAGCTCTGAGCCCTTGGCCCCTCGTCGAAGCTAGTCCTCTCGCGCAACTGCCGAACACCATAATATGAGCTGACATCGAACGCAAAACATCAATCGGTCATGTGCAGTTGAAGTTAATGCTCCTAAGACTGGTGACCATAGTTGCAAGAAATGATTCTTGGCGGCGGTAGTGCTCCAGGAGATGTTCACAACGGCCACGCCATGTCAGCCCAGACTCGCAACAAGTGCATACATTATCCCATCTGTTGCAGGGGCCTGGCTCGCGAAATTAGGACAGCCACAGTTGAGTTCAACGCAACCGAGGACATGCAAGGCGGCGACATCCTACCGAGGCTTGCATATACGGGCTGCATGTTCTTATATCAGAGGGTGACATCACAATTTTAACGGTCGGCCCTTCATGTTTGTTGTTACATCAGATCAAGGAGGGCGAAAATGTGATCACGGATCACGCGAAGTCATACGACTAGAATTATCACTTGACCACGTTTCATGTTCTAGCTATACACCCCCTCCACTCGGTGAAATTTTTGGTACTTGTTATATAGGAAGGACTAGCAGTGATGCAAATCAACTGGAATCCAATACCCAGCACTATATCGATCACCACAGCAAGATATGGCCTCCACCGCAATCGGCCCTAACCGGGACATCAGGAATGATTACAAAACACCAGACAGAATCCTTACTCTCAGCGTTGAAGGACTCGCTAATCCGACGTCAAAAGGCGTCCTTCTTGACAGCAATTTCGGCTTTTCCGTAATCAGTTGCTTGATCTACTCGGAAAAGGTCACACTTGCAGATATTCCACATATAGGTGTAAAAAAGCGATCAGATGGAACGTATCAAGAACCTGAACTGGGCATATTTTGCTCTTTTTTGATCATCGAGTCGCAATCAGGCGCCACAATTGACGTCCGTGGTGATAAAGGAGCAGATGCAGGTGGAACTAACACAGCGCAAAATGGAGGGACTGGAGGTAAAATATGGCTATACGTCGAGAATATGGACGAAGACATCGTAGATCATCTACGTCTTATCGCTGATGGCGGTGATGGGGGCGTAGGGTGTAATATTGTGCCAGGTGGTGATGCGGGAATGCTCGCTGGCGGCAATGGTGGCAATGCAGGTAATCCACCTACCTCTTTTTGTTTAACCTATCTAGACTTCTAAGATTGAATGTTTCGTTACAGGTCAGATATCAGTCTACTACGGATGTCAGGCCCGGACTTTAAAGTCGACATTGACGCAAATGTTGAAGCCACAGACCCCATGGCCAAAACAAGTGCAGCAAGCGTTGTCAAAGCTGTTTCCTGCAGACAATCCTTCTCCACTAAGTGGAATTCCCAAGAGATTTTCACCCGAATTCATCCAGGAGTGTAAGCAGACCTGTACTAATTTCGGTAACTTTGCCGCTGCTCTAGGCTCCTTGGTACAAGCCCTCAACCAAGTCATCAACAAACCTTCCGCTTTCCATCCCAAACCGACCATGCCCAACCAGAAATCAGCCTCATCATGTCAGGTCGCCTTGCAGCAGCTTTTAAGTCTTTACAATCCACCTCAAAATGTTGCTCAGGCCGACATAGACAGGTGCAAGGCTGCGTGTGGGCTAATTTCGGAATGGTTCACAAACGGAGGCGCAGATAGAGAAGCAAAAATGGCAACCGCGATAAATGACTGTACTCAAATGGCAACTTCCCAAGTGGCGGCCAAATCTGGTTCAGCGATGTGGGACTGCTTCAAGAATATAGGAGACGCGCTCGACGCATCCCTTAACGCGATTCAATCCGGGCTTCAGAACCGAGTCTGTAGCGTCGAAGGAGGTAGATACCACTGCTATTTAGCAAAATTTGTTCTTCTTCCGATACTAATTGGTTTGCAGGAAAGGGAGGCGTACAGGGATTGACGACAGGAGGAAAGTTTGGAAACAAAGGTTCGAACGGTCAACCGGGTACGATAACCGCAAAATGTCTCAATTTTGACGGACAAGAAGAAGACCTGAAGGTTGATATTGTCACTGCATTTCCCGATCAGTGCCAAATGCTCTCGAACCAAGGCGATGCGTTCTACTTCTCAGGGGATGTCGGCAACGCACGAGAAGTATACTCAAGACTCACCAAGAGACTTGCGTTTGTGCCAACACTGAATACGTCCGATTTGAAGTCACCTCTAGCAAAAGCGTACCAGCAAGCGCGAGACGATTGGAAGCTCATCATTTCCCCAGATAAGAAACCCGTAGCGCAGCTGGGATCCCTTCTGAACCAGACTACCACCAAATTGAACAGAATCGGTCTGAACCAGGATATTTTCGGGCATGCGCCCAACTGGGTTCCCAGGTTGGCCTTTTGGCTGTACTTCAACACTCTGAACTCCATGCTCATCATATTAGAAAAGCAAACCACCACACTCAAGCGCTACGAAGACGCTCTACGCACCAATGCAAAAGAGATCGAAAAGGAAATCGCACAAAGCATTGCTAATGCTGATGGCTTGGCCGCTGCTAAAGTGCAAATTGACCAACTGACTAATTCATCCGGCATTATGCAGGGCTATGTTGCTAAGATTCGAGCAGCGAAGCCGAAATTGGAGCAGAAGCATGATAAAATCACAGCGCAAATGGATAAAGTCAAGGACGACATTCAGAACAAATTGAACTTCAATCCCCAAGACATTGTGGAGGGCTTTGCATCTTTCTGTATGATGCCGTCCAAGCTGTCTGCAATTGGACAAGTCGCCGCTGAAGGATATAAGGCCTTCTCCACGGTTCATAATACCGAAGGATACGATGTTGAAAAGGACTGCGTAATCGACCAGCTGACAGCTCTTCAAAACGCTACATTGGAATCTTTCAACCAATGCATCGCTGACCCGACCGTTGGACCCGACGGAAGCATCACTCCACCCGATCAAACAGCCATCCTTGCTGCCAAAGAGGATATCAATAAAGTCATAAATGACTTCAAAAGCGCAATTCCAAAGTCAGACCGAGACGCACTGTCCACTGCTCTCGATGAGTACATGCAAACAGTTCTTGATAGGAACGACGCAATGTTGCGCTACACTGCAGCGTTGCAGCTATTGGGGGATGCTTCCTCAAGCGAAGATTTCTACAAGAGCCAGCAAGAGCGGGAAGGAGACGAAGTGATCGAAAATGCTGCTAATCAGGGATTGCCACTGATATATACCTGGATGAAGAAGGCCATCAATGATTATAGTTTTGCCGTGATGCAGAGCCTTGACTACGCCGCGAGAGCTGGAAGCTTCTGGGGCTTGATGAAGATCTCAAGCACCGCAGAACTCGATGACGCATTGAAATCCGGAGTTCCAACCCTGGACTGCCTGAAGACAGCTCGAGATCATATTTGGAACGTCTGCTATGATCGAATGGCCTCGTTCACGAAATTCCGACCGAGTGTTTGGCCCCCAGATGATCATGGTCGCGGAGCGTTTGAACCGTTGAACGCTGCAGAGCTTGATACTTTGAAGAGAGGTATCGTAGAAGTTGACAGCATTACCAAAGAGGAGAGTAAGACGTACGGTGTCTATCTGACTCTTGACCCAAAAAGACTCCACCAATTATTTGCCGGAAAGTCGTTAGTTCGCCTCCATCAAGTTCGCTTCTGGGCACTTGGGGCGACTGTTTCACAGAATGCAATTGGTCAACACCTCATCCAAGTTGAGCTCAAACACATGGGACGAGAACAGTTCTGTGATGAAAACGGGACATGGTTCGATTTCGATCACGAGATAGTGGTGGTCAAGTTTGCGTATGATAGCACCGCTGTCAAGACCATTGACGACTGCACGCCTGCGGCAGCTCAAGCAAAGGAGAACATGACAGGGGACTTTACAGGTGCAGAGCCAGTGATCACCGAATCTGGCGAGATTGTGAGAGATGCGCCCTCCGCCGCTGCAGTTGGCCCGTTCACGACTTGGATGGTCCAGTTGAAGGAAAGCAGCAACCCAGGGCTCAATATGGAGAAGGTGACCAAGGCTTGTATTGAATTCTGCTACACGTATCGTTAGTCGTGGAATTTGTCGGATTCGCGCTTAGCCTTTACGATTTGGTTGGGATTTGACGGGTAACGTATAGTACAAGAGCCTGGGAATAAACAGTGCAGCGCAGAGCTGTTCTCAAGGTTTGTTTTCACTCGTTCTGTCATTCTATATCGGCGAATTCCAGGTAGTGGGCGATTGACGCAGCGTCTTGAGAGCAACTTGCAGACCTCGGCGCCATGTCGAATCCGCCCGGTAGTGCGAGATCATTTGTCGTCCAGTTTGGCTGTAATTTCAGAGAATCTGTGAAGCTCTGGCCCCAGATAAAAAGGCTCTGTCAGGTGCTCTCTCCCGCTCTAAAACAGGCTCTTGCACCTTGACTTTCTGTGGTCTTGAGATGGTAGCACGCTCCCTATGGCGTAGGAAATGTAGGAAATGTGGGATGGATGCAATGCGACATGGATGCAATGCGACAGCGCTCCTAATTTCTTGCGTGAGGGTGAAGAACTAGGATATGCCAGCAGAAAATTGAGTGACACGAGGAAAGCACTACGAAGTTCGCATAATGTTGTGAAGCAGACCGGGAACAGAGACAACAGATGGCAGCCACGCCAGGCCAGAACTCTCTACGTCATTGCGCGCCAAACCCTGACTGCCACTGCCACGACAGCGTTATCTCCACCAAGACCGGGCGACCCAGCGGCGGGCTAGCTGACCCTCACATCTCACGCCTGCCAGGTGTAATGCCAAGTATTACCGCTAGGCTTCCGTACGCAACCTTGAGATTGGAAATTCGCCTGCCATGCTCAATGGATCTAGCATTTTACCTGCATATAGCCATTACTAATACGAGTTCTAAAGAGAACATCGTACTCGAAGGGCACCATGGAGGCTACAGGTCTAGGTCGACTCTACTGCTCGTTCATGGGAGGAACGTAAAACGAATGCAAGATCAGACAGCTGGCACTGAAAGAGCCTCAGCCCCAGCCTCACTGGAAGAATCCTTGCAGCCTGTCATCCTGTTTAATACGATGGAGACATCCTTCTCCATCTCCATGGGGCCGTCTAGAGTCCGAAGGGGGCAATAGATCTTGCGAGAACACTGGCGTCGCTGGATGGAATCTCCTTTTGATGTAAGAATCTTCCAAATACTGTTCAATCTTCGCTGACCTCTGAAACAGGTAACCACCTGCCATGTATCTCGAACAATCCTATCCAGCGTGGGAGGCGTCTCGCAACCATCCAGCGCTTCAGCCTTGAGGTTTTCGATGCCCCAGCTTACGACACGACGCGATTGTGGGGGAAGGAGTCTCGTACAAGGAGTCTCGATCCATACATTAGATCGAGGAAGCTTTATGCAGTGAAGCAAGTGAGACTGCCATCGTTGACTGGAAATTTCAGCACCTTTGAACGTCAAGTGGCATGTGTATTGAGAGATGTTGAGGTAAGGATGAAACCCGAAATGCCTTTTCTGTATCGGGACTAATCGCGCCCTGTGTCTGTAATAGGTCATGCATTCTCTCGCAAATCACAACAACATCTTGAGCATATTTGGATATGGCTGGAACATTGAGCGCAGTCGCCCAATCTCATTTCTCGTAACCGAGTTCGTCGCGGAAGGAACTCTGCGTTCATTCCTGAAGAATAACGAAGTCAGCTCCCCGAGAAGCTACTCTTCTGCAAAGATGTCGCACAAAGAATCCATTCTCTGTATGTTTCTAGTATCACATATAGAGATCTCAAGCTGGACATTGTCCTAGTCACGCCTTACATTGCCAGCGCTGCCACTCCATTGCAGCAAGATCTATTTGAGGCATCACGAACTAGCGGTATGTCCGCGTGTATATCCGATTTTGGACACTCTCTTCACCTTTACAATTCTGAGGGCGATTCGAATGTTAAGCAGAGATATGGTGGGACGATGGTTTACAACGCACCTGAGACCTTAGGCGACGAAGCAGCATGCTAGAGACAACGTCGATTTTCGCAAGTATGATGTGTGGTCCTTAGGTCTGCTGTGCTAGGAGGATCTGACTGGTGGTCATGCGTACTATCATAATTCCGACGTTCAGCAAGGAATCATATCACAGCACAGGTCTACTCCGAACTCTACCGCATCTTCATCTAATAACCCCAGTTAAGCATCGTCAGCATCGATTTTTAAAGAATTTATCATTACGCCTCAATTGGTCGATATCGCTTGCCAAAATATTTTCAAACGAATCGACGGCATATCATTATCGATCCCGAATCACACGATAGAAACTTGGGTTCGGGCCTCAGCTTTGTGAGGTGTTTGATTCCGTGCATTCAGCATTCTCAGTGAGGAGTATTACTTTTAGTATTATCAAAACAGAAATATTAATAACTTATCGCTTTCACCGTTAGCCCTTAAACCCCGCCTTTTCGTCGCCCTTATGCACTCTTTGTCTTAATATAGCCACCTATCCTTATTTTAAAACTATGTAAATTTCGCGTCTGCCAGCGTCACAAATGGGCCCAACAAGTGTAAAAGTACGGAGCAAAGGAATGAAATATTTGCCAAATATTGAAGCATACTCTGGACGTGACGATTCCATAATTGTAGTGACTTCGAAAAAGGGTTCACGGGTTCGTCGAACTTCTCGATGAGCTTTACTTGTCCAGCAACGCGCCACCTTTTGGCTTTCTTAGTCAATACTTCGAGCTTCTGTAACCCATCGAGCAAGTCTTTCGCAGAGGCGCATGGCGGGTAGTTCTACCTCTCTCCCTCCGGAGGAGAGTTCAAGAGGCGCTCAAGTGCCTTATCGAAAGCTTTGTTTGCTGTACTTCAGACTTGTGAGTACGGCAAGATTTGTTTCCTCCGTGGACAGCGTTAAACTCACCCCATGGAGTTTAAGCCTATTTTCAAGAAAATTTTAAAGCGGCAACTTCTTCGATGGGTGAGAGGTGATAGATGACTCGAGACGGATCCGTAGTGGGAGTAGTGTTAAGATTCTCAGCTTGCACACCCATGCTCTCAGGCAACCAATGGATACCATTTCCGGAGCAGTCGAAATCTGTCTCCGTCCAGCTACAAATTTATCACGGACTTGCATGACTCTAGCTAGGCGTAAAGGCCTTCAAGGCACTATACGTATGTCTTTTTCCTTAAGCCACTTCTTTTTTATTTATTTCCTTTTACAACATTAGTAGACATAATAAGATAGGTGGGAGAGTGGCTTGCTCTATTGTTTTAATTAGTAAAGAGCCTTGGTGAGGCTATAATAGGGACTCGTACTTGCGAACTGCAGATTTGCGGATGAAGGTTTGAAATCGCTACAAACACTAATTCTATAAATGAGCGCACATTTAGTTATTAAAAATTATACCCTGCTCAAATCGACGCAGCTGGTGTAGTGAATTATGGTTGGTGGATTATAAACGCATATCGGCTCCAAAGTTGAACTCTTGGTATTTTTAACCGCCTGAAATCAGCCTTCAACCCAATAGCTCCACTCACCAATCTCCAACAAACCCTCCCTTGCCCCAGTCACAAGTTCCAAAGAGCCCCCCAAACACTGCTGTGGCAAGGCCCAGTATGAGCACCAACATCCAATGAAACCAGCCTAACGAAGCGAAAGTAGGAGCTCTATCTAGCGGACTAACAAACTCTTTTTCCGTCGCATCTTTTCTCTCTTTCTGTAGTCCTTTTGGCCACCAGGTCTTCAACACTTGCTCACTCATGATCTTTGCACCAGCAAGGACAATTGGGACACCTGTGCCAGGATGCGTACTCGCTCCAACAAAGAATAAGTTCCTAAACCTCGAGTGCATGGTTTTGGGCCGGAAGCATAGTACATTGAAAAAGGAATGAGAAAGCCCAAGAATTGCCCCCCGGTCCAAATTAAACTTCGTCTGCCATGTTGGTGGAGTGTTGATAGCCTCGTGTACAATATGTGGGCCAAGCGAGATCCGGAGACGAAATTCAATAGTCTTGAGTATCGTGATACGGGCCGCCGATACCATAGCATCCCAATCCTGTGTTGTCGGATTTCTGGAAGTGTTCTTAGTTCCTTCATGCGCTCCCGATTCCGAGTCCAGCAGATGACCAACAGGAACCAGGACGACGAAGGCATCGCAGCCGTCCGGCGCAGCGCTAGGGTCCACGCGTGAAGGTACGTTAACGTAGAAGCTCGGCTCGTCAGGTATTAGGTGTTTCTTGAAAATGCTATCAAAAGATTCCTTATAGTCTTCAGCGAGGAAAATATTGTGGGCAGAGAGCTCGGGGAACTGTTTATCTAGTGCCCAATAGAAAGATATGCTTGAGCAAGACGCCTCTCGCTTGGAGAGAGCTCGTGAATAAGATGTTGTAGGGAGAAGGTTGGTGTATGCGTAGACAAGATCTGCATTGCAGATCACAATGTCCGCAGTTAGCGTTTCGTTGGAATGGGCGAGAGTTACTCCTGTTACTCGTTTCCCGTCCTCCGAGAGACAGATTTGCGATATTGGAGTATTCAAACGGTACTCTACTCCACTTCGTTTCCCAACATCAACGAGGGCATCGATAACCTAAACACTATCAGAATGAGTTCAGATGTGGAATTTGAATTCGACCGCTACACGCAGTTGAACACAGTAAAATCCGTACCTTGTGAAACCCACCCTTTGAATACCAAATCCCTTCAGCTAGCTCCGTATACTGCAGCAGCGAATACGTCCCTGGCGCCTCAAACGGACTCATCCCCATGTACATACTCGCAAACGTGAACACCCTCTTGCATCTTTCCGTCCAAAAATACCTACTCGCCCTCCCATAAACACTCTCAAAAGGGTGCAACTCCAGCAAATGTCGCAAGAAGCTCGGCCTAAGGATACTTAACAAAGAGTAAAAGTTCTTCCGGAGGACATGGGTGATCGATAGTTCATAATGAAGATGGGATTCCTGCAGGAAGGAGAGATAGCGAGAGAAGCCGTCTTTGCCTTCAAATCTTTCGATTTCAGGTTTCATGGCCGAGAGGTCAGTTGAGAGACTGAATTTGGTGGAGTCGTGGAAATGGACTATGTAGTTGGGATCACATTTCGCTAGTTCGATTCCTTCAGCTTCCATGCTCGTTCCTAGGTCTCGAAATGTTTCGTGAAAAAGATGGGGAAGAAGCAGTAGGCTGGGACCTTGATCAAATCTCTATATTTCGATTAGTGAAATCTCAGAGGTTTGGTTGAAGTGAATTTTGGCTGTCTCACATATCCACCTCGATGTATTAAGGAGCATCTCCCGCCTGTGAAGTCGTTCTTCTCAACGACAGTGACTTTTAGGTCAGCTTTTGCAAGCCGAGCGGCCGTGGCAACACCCCCTATTCCAGCGCCTACAACTAGGACGCTGGGCTTCTTCATATTTCCAATCGCTTCTCTTTCTCCAGAAGCCATAAGAATGGTGGTAAGAACTGCGTGGGACACGCTGAGTCCGCTTCTATAAAGTCATGACGTGAGTGTTGAGGGGGGGTCGGGGAAAGAGGGCCAAAAAGACCGACTCGGTTCACACCCTAAGCCTTTTGCAGACCTTGGGAGGTGATGCGAAGTCTCAGAACTGTGACAAGGATAAGGGCTGAAAGGCTGATTGATTTCGTTCGCTTGTTAGCGATGAAGTTTTTGTTCAAGACTTTCACGTGAGAAGGTACAAAGCTGGATCGGTAATCTATCTACGCGGCAGTCCCATTCAGCGCTCTCCAAGCAACCTTCACTCTTCTCAGCTTGGGCACAGTGGCTCGGCCAGCTTTAACAACATATCCGTCCTGTCTAAGCACCCTGCCTATCTCCATATAGCTCTCTACTGCTACTCTGATCGGACCTCGTGCTTCTACCGGAAGATCCTCGATCGCATTTCTCGCGCCCTCATACATCTCGAAGGCCCGATCAAGCAACCGAGCACGCAACCTTTCTACTCTTGCCCCCTGAGGATTCTTCAAAACCGAATTATAGGTGAGACCTTCGTCTTTAATCCAGGTCTCCGGAATGTACACACGCGCCATTTTTGCATCGACCGAAATATCTCGAGCAATGTTTACATGCTGCAGGGCAATTCCCATGCGGTTCCCTGCGTCAAGAACATGTCGCTGTTCTTCCACGGAGAGTGTACTTCGGTAGTTGAAGAAGATCAACTCTAGGCACATTTGCGCAACGGTACCTGCGACGCGACGAGCATACATCTGAAGATCAGCCTCGATTTTGATTGGATGAGCGAAGACGGGGTTTGCGAAGCTAAGATCCATATCAAAGCCATCCAAGAGTTCTTCTAAAAGCTGGCGGGACAACTTCGGGAATGGAACTTGGAGGAGCGCCGATTGTGCGTTGGGAGGGAAATTCAGAAGAACGTAGTCTTTCATAGAACCAAGGCTGTTCTCATCCCTATAGGATGCTTTTAGGAAATCGCGGAGTCTTGTGACCCACGACGCAGCTTCGGCCTCAGAGTATGCGCAATCGACCAAGTCATCCGCAACGCGGCAAAAAGAGTACAGTAACAAGAGATCGGTGCGAACTTGACCTTGAAATGTTGAGCTTGCAAGGTAGAAGCTTCGGCTTTTGATCCGTAGGCGATGGACTGCATCATGCAGCCCCATGATCCGATGCTCATCATATTCTGAGGCAGGTTTGAGCAATGCCCGGACGAGGAGTGTTGGCGAGGGTAGGACGGGCGGGTTTGGGAAGAGATGCGGGAATGTGTAGAGGATCGAAAGGGCGTTGTCAAAAGCGACCTGGCCAAAAACGATGAGGGAATTCGTAGCAAAGAAGAATAAGGCCTCTCTGGTAATGGTTAACTTTATGTTGAGCAAGTATATTCCAGACTCACTCTATTTCAAGACCATCCCAAAGATGAAATCCGTATTTAGTGCCATCGCTGATTACCCAAGTCCCTCGCTTTAGCGCTAAAGTATCGATAACCCACAGGTATAACGTGGGCAGCAAGATTGGTATCGCGGTATTCAAAATAGGAAGCCCCAACAGGAACTGGTATGCGAGACTCCTGACACCATATCAACCCAGGCTTTAATATGGCGTATTGGATGGAGCTCATACCAAAGAAGTAGCAGAAATGGAACCGCCCAAATGATAATTAATCCTAAGTATGTCGATTCACCTCCTCCTCCAACCATACCTAGCCCTAGTTTGATTATTATTGCAAATGCTAACTGACCACATAGTTTGTAGTATCGCCATTGAGGGTTAACAGACCCAAGCGGGTGGGCAGCAGATCGCTCGAAGCGGAGGTAGACAGGCTGAAAGGTAGGTCTACTGCATATGAGATACAGGAGCGATGTGTTATAGGTCTGGATGACAAAGAAGAAGATCTCTTCTACGGGAATGTCAAAAAGCTTTAGCCCGATGATGACATGAGCTGGGTAGCTCCATATGCGGTTGCGAATAAGGTACGAGTCCCATGGTATAGTGGAAATGACAGCAATCTACTGCTATTAGTGGAGGCTATTAGACCGTCGTCTTGAATACCGTAATAAGAAATCCGATCTTGTAGGCATCAAGCCTCGCAAATAAAGGTCGGTAAAGAAGAGTGAGTAGTATAGCTGGTGGAATGGTATACTTGACATGTCTGATCACCAGTCGTCAGTATTCGGCCCACTGGACATTCAGATGCTGCATACACCAGCGCATATTCGAATCCCATGTCGTCGTAAATCTCTCCACGACCCAGAGCTCGCACCTCTAATTCCTGTCAATTCAAGGGACCGAACGCACAGGAGAGTGCTAGAGCGGTGCAGCTGACAAAGAGCAGAGACAGCCGCCATGATGCAGTGGGTTGCCGTCATGATGTAGAGCTCCCTAGCACACCATGACGCGCTAAAGATGGAAGGTCGAACCATGTCTAGCGCCCAAACAAGCCTAGCGTCATCATCAAGATTCCGTTTAGAGCCCCTCTCGACGTCATGATTCCCCCTCCGCGATCATCACAAAATCATGTGCAAAACATGCGATTCCTTGGGATTTTCCATCGTCATGGCGCTAGCTTGGCCCAGAGGCGCGACCTTCCCCCTCATCCGACTAGTTCTAGTTTCTATAGTGAAGAAGACTGCTTGACGATGAGGTCTACTCAGGAGGCAACTCAAGGGAGCATTCTTTCTTCAATCAGCTCGCAAATACGACCTGAGCAAAGAACGAAGTCTGTAGCCACAGACGGACTGCCTCTTTGTATCGGATTTTGTGAATGAGAGTCAGGCGCTGAACGATTCACCATGAATAGAAATGGACGAGCGAAGAAGCGAGGCTCAGCGCACCCGTATGTTCAATCTCGACAGCCATCGTCACGTGCTTAAGCTTGTCCACTGACTCTATACAGCTATCTCACCGGAAACTTTGCTCCGGTAACGATAACTCACTCCCCAGTTCCATGTTCATACACTGGAACAGTCCCGCTAGAACTTCTTGGGGGAGAGTATGTTCGCAATGGAGGTAACCCAGTCTCGAACTCAGATCTTGGGCGCGATGCCCACTGGTTTGATGGCGACGGCATGCTTGCAGGTGTATTCTTCAAACCTTCTCATTCAGATCCCGAGAAACCAATCCCTCATTTCGTAAACCAGTACATCTTGACCGATATCTGTCTTTCGAGTTTAGAGAGTCCTTCATTAAGAACGCCCATCCTTCCAAGTATTGCAACCTTAGTCAATCCGCTATCGAGTTTAATCGTCACCATTTTCTGCATCTTCCGGAGTGTATTTCTTGTTCTACTTTCTCATCTACCCCGCTCGCAGCAAGTCATCAACAGAATCAGCGTCGCAAACACCGGAGTCCTATTTCACGATCGTCGTGCTCTAGCAACATGTGAGAGCGGGCCTCCGATCCGCATTCAACTCCCTGGGCTAGAAACGGTGGGCTGGTACCACGGGAATCGAACAGAAGGAGAGCCCGAGTGCCGAGAAAGATCTCAGCCGAAGGAAGAAGTCTTTGGTGGCTCTGGACTGTTTAGTTTCATGAAAGAGTGGACGACTGGACATCCTAAAGTCGATCCGTGGACTGGAGAGATGATACTATTCCATTGCACTTTTCTCCCTCCATACGTCCACTACTCTGTTATACCGCCCTGCTATACGAGGTCACTATCGCAACGCTCGAAGCAACTCAATACTCCCGTGCCTGGATGTTCTGGTGGAAAGATGATGCACGACTTCGGAGTTTCTCTCTCTCATACCGTCATTCTCGATCTCCCGCTCTCCTTGACACCCTTCAACCTCTTCAAAAACGAGCCGGTTATATCATATAAGCCCGATAAACCTTCTCGCTTTGGTGTCTTCCCTCGACATGATCCCTCTCGGGTTCGCTGGTTCGAAACGAGTGGATGTTGCATCTTTCATACCGCAAACACGTGGGATGAATATGACGCCGGTGGAGTTACCACTGCCGTCAACCTTCTCACATGTCGCCTGACCTCTTCGTCGTTAGTATTTAGCGCAGGAAACCTCCCCCTACCGCCTCAGTCAAAGCAAGATGCGCTCGAAAAATCCCGACTAATGTCTTTCTTCGCAAAATACGACGACGAAGCCGCAGACTTGGAGAAAGATCCAGCTCAAGAGACAACGCCTCTTCTATCTCCTGCCTACCCAGCAATTGTAGATGATGATGAAGAGCAATGTCGACTTTATTACCATCGCTTTTCGCTTACTGCCTCAACTCCCACCGTATCACACCAATACGCGCTCTCGCACATCCCGTTCGAATTCCCAACGCTGAATCCAGCGTACGAAATGTCATCGGCACGGTACATCTACGGTTGCAGTACCAGCAGTGAATCCTTCGGCGCGGCATTGGGGAAAGCAACCAAGATCGATGTTTTAGTGAAGATGGATGTGCAGACGTTACTACGGAGAGGAGAGCTGTGTCCAGCGTGCCCAATAGGCCGTACTACTGACAGTACTGAGTACGGTGTACGGTTGATTTAGACCGTACGAACGTACAGCAATCTTCTGTCAGTGCGTATAATAGCTGTTGCCCTAAGTACTGTCTGTAGTACAGTGTACAGTTAGCATTTTAGGATAGCTTATAAAGCTTAATTTAGTGTTTTAAAGAGCCCTTACTAGAGAAGCTGCCCTAGGGGGCTAATTAGTAGAAAATCTTATGTGCAACGCTAATTTAGCTGCTTAAAGAAGACTTTACCTGCCTATTTAGATAGTATAGCTTATTAAAATTAAAATAATGCTTATTACTAACTACTTTTTATTACAGAATTGCTTATCTACGCGCCTTACAGCCTTACAGGCCTTATTAAGTTAATCTAGTGTTACTATTATACACCCTATAAAGTCTTAAAAGCTTAAAAAATTAAAGGCAATTTATAACACCTTTACTAGCCTATTCTATAAGGCTACACTACTTGCTAGTAATAAGTAATTAAAGGAGTACCTAAAGAAGTGTAATTATAATGCTAGCACTAAGTTTAAGATTAACTAGGGTAATATATAGCTATTAGATTTAAAAGAGGCTCTGCTAGCTGCGTAATTAAGTTACTAGGTAAAAAATAAAAGAATAATAAGAGGCAACTATAAGGTTTTAAAGGTGTAGCTCTATAAAGCAGATTTAATGCTGTGTAAGAAGCAGAGCAAGGTTATACACCTTTAGCTCTGCTATTAGTGCTATAAGCAACATTATAAAAGCGCTGCAAAAGTAGTTAATAGTTATAACTATATAGTAAAGCATTTATAAAGAGAGTATAAAGTTAACATTAATAAAAAGCTTTTACTTAATAGCCCTTAGGCTTCTTAGCACCTATAGAAGGTAGCTAGAGTAAGAGTAGCAGGCTTATTACATAGGCTATCTTATACACCTTAGCAGGAAGGCCCTCTGCGCAGTGCCCTAGTAGATTAGGTTATAGTGCAGAATTAATTATTTAGAAACACTATTTTTATAAAAACCTAAGGCCTTATTAGCTAGAATTACATAGATCTTCTTACTACTTTTTTATAATTATATACTACACTTTTTACTAATATTTAGGATGCATTTATGCAGCAGAAGTAGGAGATTTTAATAGTACTAAATTTAGCATTATTAAAAATTGCGTTAAGCATAGATGTGTAAAGTAGTAGAAATTACCTTTTATTTCTTACAGTAGTAGCTTATTTTGTTAGTAAGTGTACACAGGCTACTATTACTACTTTTCTACAACACTAACTCTACTAGATGCTTTGCATAAATAATAAGATCTTCTTATTAAATTTAAAAACCTTTACAGCAACTATACTAAAAGTATGTAAGCTTTTAAAGTAGCTGCTACTATTATTAAATATAATATTATATTAAAATTTAGTTGCTTTGTTAGAGATAATATATTAAATAATAATAATAAGCTTATCTAGAGCCTTAACAATTACCTAAATCTGCTATATAAGCTTAACAGGCAGCACTAAATCTGCTGCGCTGGCCACACTATCTAGGTAGTTGTAAAAGCTATTATATACAGCAAAAGTGTTACTAAATTTAAGTAGGAGCTTGCTAGAGCTGCTCCTTATAATTAATTTAAGCTATATAAAAAGCGCAGTGTTGTTAGGTGTTTCTATAACCTTGTAAACAGCGTCCTAGCCTTACATAAGCGCATAAGGCTTTTTAACACTATATAGAGAGACTTAGCTAAAGAGGACTTTATTTAGGAGTTTAGTACACTTAATCTTGTACATAACAGCAGAGTACACTAGCACTTAGTATATCTTATGCTCCTACGCTGCTTTAAGCTTAAAGAGGTAATTAGCTGCTTCTAAAGGCAATAAAAAGGCTCTTTTAATGCTAAGAATAAGGCTTACTGTGCTAGATTTAACACCTTATTAGATCTTATAACTAAGGATAATTAGGATAAGATTAAGCGCTTTATAGGCTTTTTAAAAAAGTTTTATTAAATAATAAAAAGACTTAAAGGCAACAGCTTATCTAGCTTACTTTAGCAAATAATTATAAAGCTATAGTGCCTTTAAATCTACTTTAATTAGATAGGCAACGCCTTTACTAACAAGCCTAGCTTTTTTTACTTTAAAAGTGCTATCTAGTTTAGCTATTAGAAGCTTATAACCTACTAGGGTAAGCTAATCTTTAAGCCTCTAGCCTTATATTACGCAGTAGCAACTATACTTTATTCTTAGCTGCAATTACTGTAGTTTTAAACCTACTAGCGCTATTATAAGGCCTAGATTAATAAAGTAACTTAGTTAATAAAGTTAATCTTTACATAGTATATAGATGCTAAGGATAAAGATAAAAATAGAGATAAAGATAAAGCTAAGGCCTTATCTTTAAGGCGTTATAAACTACTTAGTAGCAACTATTATAACATTAATTATAAAAACTGCTTTGCTATTAACCTCTCTCTTATAATAAACAAGCGCTTATATAAGTGTAAGAGGCTATTAAATAAGCTGTAATTTTACTACAACACTATACGCTCTAATCTCTACAAGAATTACTTATTACTACATAGAGATCCTCTATAGTAGTAGCTTACTAGAGGCAAATTAAGCTATCCTATTTTTTATAAAATTACCCTTAATTTCCTTACTATCCTAGCTACAAGCTGTAAGTGCGAGAGGTGTTTTAGTGCTGCTAGCTGTACTGTAACTAACAATTGTAACAACCTATTAGGTGCAACAATTAAGGCTATACAGCTGCAGAAGCACTAGATTAAACACTAAATAGTAAGAAGCAAGCTCCTAGCTTTAGCTGCTTACATTACTAGGGAAAATAGCCTTATAAGAAGCTATTAGGCCTTTAACTCTGCCTCTTCTATAGTATAGCGTATTAATAGTTACAATGTACATTAATTATACAGTACTACCTGTACAGCTTATTTTAAACAGTGTGGTTACTGTCCGTACAGCTGCCTCTCCTCCTCACGACCGTACGTACGTACAGGCAATCTCGTCCGTACAGGCCTCAAAATCTCCTAATCGTACAGTAGTACGGACTGTTGGGCACGCTGGCTGTGTCCACCGAAAAGTATCACAGGGTGCATAGATACACGCAGCATCACCGACATCCTAAACAGCTCCAATGCTAACGATTCCATCCAAGCGTTTAAGATGTCGGGAAATTGGTATGCGCAAGAAGCTCGCTTTGTGTCTCGCCAAAATCCTGTATCTGAAGATGACGGATATCTACTCTTCTATGCATTCGATGAATCCCAACTCGATGTCTTTGGGGAGTGTGTATCGGACGCAGTATCAGAGCTGTGGATATTAGATGCAAGGAATATGAGAGATGTCCTTGCGAGAGTGAGACTGCCGCAGCGTGTTCCGTATGGATTGCATGGTAATTGGTTTTCGGGGAAGCAGATACAAGAGCAGAGGAGCGTGGAGAAGGTGAGGAGTTTGCCAGTGAAAGTGCAGGATACGGCTTGGTTGAAGGTCAAGCGGAAGATGATTGGTTGGGTTGGGTAATTAGGTTGTCATCATGAGAACTTATAGGGGTTGAGAAGCGACGTGATTAGCGGAAATGCCGGTTTTTGAGTGACGATAGGTAGTAAACTAGAGAGGTTACGAGGTTGAACATACCCAAAGTTCGCATTGAGGAGATTGTCATATGACAAGTAATACTATCATCTAGTACCTAACCCAAGCCTTTTCTTATTCTTCTCTCAAATGATCTACCTTCACATGGTGTGAGGCTGGTCCCTCACCTCGCCCTTTCATACCTCCACCGTGAGAAAACACACCTCCGACAAGAAGTAATCACACCACTGCTACCTAGATAGAATGACACCGCACTCCTTGATAGCCACTCTAACCTCCCACCTCCCCATTCTCAAATTCACCCAATGTTGCGCTAACCGTTCAATACGTACAAGCATAGCCCTGCCAATCATCAGATCACCACCCCGCCTACCCCCCTCACAAATGACGAAGATCACTAGTCTTATATCACACCGAGGTCAGCGCGAGCATCTTCATGGGAAAACACTTTCATGCTACACGGCCCCTGCGCTTTCCTACCACGAAGGTCACGATAATCGTTGGAAATATGCAAACATAGCCCTACCAACTCTCGAAAATCACTGAACTGCACGAAGATCACTTTAACGCTGTCATGTGGCGAATTTCTCCCCTGTAAATGCGGTCTATTTGGCGGGAATCCAAAACGAATCGGAGATGTGCCGCTCGTTTCGCGATCGCCGGAGGAGATGGTGTTGGAGGATCTACCTCGGAACCAGGGTATTGGTATCTGGCAATGAGGGGTGCTGCGAGTTGCTAGGTAGGTTTCTCGCAGCGTTTCCATCAGGAAGTAGTACGATTCGACTCAGGCTTTCTAGACAAGCTACGTCTCACTTATCATATACTTTTGTTTGCTTCACCTGACAGCAGGGGTTAATACAATTAAGTTACAGTTTAATTAAAGCTGCTTATACTTCTTAACTTTTTACTAAAAGTTACAACGTAACTGTTAAAGCTTTTAGAGTAGCAGGGTCCCCCTTACTTTTAATATAGCACATAAGGTTATTTAATTTACTAAAAATAACTTTATAATGTAGCTAGTTTTTCTAGAGTTGTAAAGCTTTAATTATAAAGCCTAAGAAATAATTACAGTTACAAGTAACTGTCTTTTTCCCCCTGCTAAAGGCTCTCTTGCAGTCGCAGCTTGTGGAGGGTATACATAGGAAATTAAGTGCTATCTTAAAGAGTACAGGATAGTCGCGCTAACTAACCTAGAGCCACTAATCTAGAGGTTCCCTATACAAGGGACTGTTATCTTTTGCTATAATAAGGTTGTCTAAAAGGTTGTTATAGTACAGGGCAAGCTCTAAGGCTACACTAACACGTAAATAGTGGCACAAACACGCTCCCCTAGCCCTTACACACATTAGAGACTGCAACCTTAAAAAAGTCTACCTTAATTATATACTGCTTACTTTTAAGCCTTATTAATTAAATTGTAATAGTTAAAAATGTAGTTACGTTTGTTTGCCTCACGTGATTGTAGGTGGAGCAAAAGTATCAATTGTACTACTTCCTGTTGGAAACGCTGGTTTCTCGCGGCAGACGATTAGCGCTGGTAAGTCAGCGGATGCCGACATGTCTGGGTGGATAGGAGGTCTCCGAGAAGTGGATACGTGTGGGATGAAATTGCAAGGCCTTTTGCATTCTTTTGACAGGGTGTCGCTTGATGTCTCGCCTGCTAACTCCTGGAGTTGCGCTGATGTTTGAGCCTGGGTTTTCAGTGCTCCTTGTCAGATATAAACCATGAACATGAAAATGAATCCTTTCGACTAATGGCTTGATATTAAGACCAATTATTTGTACCCATGGTGTTGGAGTGGGCTCTCGTGTCAGCACGCTAAAAGCTTGAATGTCACTAATGGTTGCTAGCAAGTGAGTCTGTAGCTACTAAAGTGGGAGCGGCGGATAAGCCTACGCTAGGAACGTGCCTACCCATATGTTATTGCGGTAATCATAACATCATAGATCTCAACCTCGTCCAAGTTACTCCTCGTTCGGCCTTCGCACGCCAATCAAAACCTCTCGATCTGAATCCCCCTCGAGGAGAAGTGTTTGAGGATCGAATACAAAGAACAGCTCGATGGGGTTAGGGCGGAATTGAGAGGTATGAGATGGATGGGGGTAGGGTGGGTTTGCGGAGCTTCGAGGAGGAAGCTTAGCGGTGTGCCAACGTGATGGGTTTTGCAGTAGTGACGTTAGGAAATAGCAAGAACGGAGGGTGGATGACAGCATTTGGCATATTAGCACCATTGCCTTGTGTCATATATCAGATGGTCATTTCTGGTGATCGAGTTTAAATATATTCGCATCTGGGCTTTCGATCGTGACTAGGAGTGTTGAACCAACAGCCGTCACACCGAACACTGCAAACATGAAAAACTTTGAGAGAAGGAACGATGCCTTGCGCATCAACGGTGAGAATCCGCCCCAAGACACACACTTTCTCAAAGAAATAGCTACCAATCTGTAGGTAACACCGTAAATGGCATTACCGCCGACATTGCCATCACTCCTCGCGGCTCCGACTTCTACTTCGCCATCTGCGCTGCAATGGCCGTAGCAGCATTCACATTCGTCGGCCTCGCCCTCCAGAAACATCGCCGCGACCGTATCTTCCATTATATCACTGCAGGTGTTGTATTCGTCGCCGCAATCTCTTATTTCTCTATGGGCTCGAATTTGGGGTTCACTCCAATTGTGGTTGAAAACCAGCGCAGCGACCCTAAAGTTCATGGGGTATTCCGTGAGATTTTTTATGTGAGATATATCGATTGGTTTATTACGACACCCCTGTTGTTGATGGATCTTTTGTTGACGGCTGGGATGCCATGGCCGACAATTCTGTGGGTTATTTTGGTGGATGAGATTATGATTGTTTGTGGGCTTGTGGGTGCGTTAGTCCGATCCACCTACAAATGGGGATATTTTGCTTTCGGTAAGACCTAACGCCATCTGAACCTCCCTTTCCTGAATTATTAAACTGATAAAGGGAAGGATGCCTCGCTCTCTGCTACATAATCTACCAACTCGCGTGGGAAGCCCGACTCCACACCAACCCCCTGGGTAAAGACGTGACGCGCGTCTTCTTCCTTTGCGGCTCCCTGACCTGCATCCTATGGGTGCTGTATCCCATCGCATGGGGTGTATGCGAAGGCGGAAACGTAATTGCACCAGACTCAGAGGCGGTGTTCTATGGCGTTCTGGATTTCCTGGCCAAGCCGGTGTTTGGTGCGTTGTTGCTTTGGGGGCATCGTAGTATTGATCCTGCTAGACTGGGTTTGCAGATTCGAGATTATGAAGATGATCCTGCAGTTACGCCGGTGGCTCACGCAGGAGAGAAGTCGAGGACGAGGAATGGGGCGACAGCTGGAAATGGGGATGGGGTAGCGAATGATATGCCGCAGGATAACGCTGCTACGGTTTAAGAGGTATACGAGTAGAGACGGGAGGAAATGGGATTGTGTTGCCAGACTTGTCAACAAGCAAACCTGTGGCGTTTTCAAGGTCCAACTTGACTTGATTGATTACTTACTTGTGTTAGTTACCTTCCTGTATAGGTTTAATGTATTAGCGCTTCTCTGTGATAATGAACTAGACTTGTTTGTTGACATGTCTGTGTGTTGGGAATGGACTGAAGAGGAAATTGCGACAGATTGGACAGATTGGACAACATGATGGGGGATGCGCATGTGAAGATTCCTCCCTTGCCTAAATCTCTTGGATTTAGAGTAGGTTTTATTTTATAAGAGCGCTGGTGGTAATGGTGTAATGCAGTTTGAAGCAGATGGATAGACGAATGCCTACCCCATTGTCGGTGAAGGGACTGCTCGCAACGGTTCTAAATAAAAAGCGACGCGAGATTCAATGCTTGGTCTAATGCTTAATAGTTACCCTTGACCGACACAATGAAAGAGGAGTATTCATTGTGACGAAAGTTGAGGGAGAAGGTGTGATGTTTAGCGCGCTGAGACGTGCATGGCTCGGAATTAAGCTTCGTCTCGGAATTAATGGCTTGGCGTGGCGTTCTTCCCCGAGGCCGTATTTACAAGGTCCACGTCTCGACACCTTTCGATGGTTTCCCCTCAATGTCCTCCACCTTGTCTACATTGACGGCCGCTCAAAATTTAGCTTCCGCTTCTATCCCGGACCCTGACCGACTTGCCCCCGAAGATGCATACTACAAGTCTCCGCCGAGGAGACCGCGACAGCGAAGTCCCCTGGGACTGGCTCCCGGAGATGGTATCGCTCTGAGCGCACGTAAAAGAAGAGAGAAAGAAAGGGGTCGCAGCACAAATGGGAGGCGGAAAGCGAACTACAAGAAGTTGCTTTGGTTTAAGCAGCCGTGTAAACTATCCTCCGCTCGGCGCGTGGCCTCAGGCTGACAACTATAGTTCCTGACAACTACACCGACGAAGAAACTTTCCTCGATCACCTGCAGCGCAACCCTCGCCTCCAGCCGTACGAGTTCTGGTCACTCATGGCCGACTCAACCGTCATTGTCCAACATATAGCCTCTGTGGCTATCTTCTGTTGCTGCTTTGTCGCTATTGCCCAGGATCGAGTGCCCCCTGTGTCTGTGGTGAGCTGGGCAAGCCTTTGTACCGTGCTTGGATGGGCATTATGGGATTATTGGATGGGACAAGAGGAGGCCGAGGCTGCCAAAGCAGTAGCGCTCTCGGAAGTGAACGACGCAGCAGAGGAGGTGTCTAGCGCGAGCTCGACTGGTTCTTCGAAAGAGGCCCACGGCCTTGGCCTTATCCTTACCCCGGTTGGCAACAGCAATCGATATAAGCCGGGCCACTCCTACAGCGCGAGTGCGACCTCGGTTGTCTCCAATAGCTCCACTACCTCCAAGGCCGGACAGACAAGCTCACCGCCAGGTTTCCCACCCTCCGGTTACAACCCTCCATACGTGGACTCGACGTCGTCACTTTCACCTCGAAATCAGCAACGGCTCGCTACCGCCAAGTCTGGCCTTCTAATCTATGCTGCAGTGCTCGGGCTTAGTCCCATTCTCAAGTCCCTTACGAGGTCTACAACACCCGACTCCATTTGGGCAATCAGCACCTGGCTTCTCTGTATGAATGTCGCATTCTTCGATTATGGAGGAGGGACTGGTGCTCAGTACGCTTATTCCTTGTCTATCCATTCCGGTCACATACTGATGGCTGCCGCAGCTTACCAGCGTCAATATCTACAAACTCGGCCTTGATGGCATCAACCGTGCTCGCGTCTCGGTTACCCTCCACCACGCATGTCTTCTCGCTGACACTCTTCTCCATCGAGGTGTTTGGCCTCTTCCCCATATTTCGTCGACAGCTCCGATCAATTTCCTGGCACGGCCATCTTGCTCTCACCATCGTACTCGTCATCAGTGCATGCGGCGGTGTTTTTGTAACTTTGACAGGTGGCGGCCGAGCTGCATGCATTGCGGGAGTGATTCTCGGGGGCATTCTCACGTTTTTCGCCATGGGTATCTGTAGCTGGTGGTTGATCGGCTTACAGAAGTACAAAAATGAGATCCATGGCCCGTGGGATCCAGCAAGGCCAGTCATCCGGCGGCGCTGGGATTGATGGCCTTCGTAATAGACTCTACTGCGACGTCCGAGTGGCGGTTTTGGTATGCATACCAATTGCAAGAACCGGTCTCCGGCCATGGGTCCGTGTGCTTTTTTCTCAAGGTCGGTTCAACCCAACTTTTGTCAATGTTCTTGATTAGGTAAGCTTTGGATACCACCTCGAGATAAACCCTTCCTCCCCTTCTTTCCCATCTGATAACTTTCTTCTGATCGTCAGTCTCCCCAACCACCTTCCACATCCGCTGGACCAAATCGTCCGATCCAACATCATCTCCCCCTACAAAGTGTACCGGGGACCAGGGTTCCCGTCTTGCCATAGCCCTGCCCTTGCTTGCTCCAATAACAACGATCCGTTCCAGTCCCTCGATATTCAAGAGCAAGCTTCGCAACAAATTCCACAGTTCAGCTCTGAACACGGGAATTGCGGGCCAGGCTTCGAAATTCAGTCGCAAACACTTGAGCCCCGGCGCATCCTCGCGGAGGGAGCCGAGGATGTTCGCCCAGGTGCCACCGCCCCATGCGAGGTAGTGAAGCCATTCGCGGCTGATGCCAGGGTGGTCGGAGTGTACCCTTCGAGCGTCGATTTCGATATCCTGGACCATGGGGCTATACTTGTCACCAATCAGCTTGAAGAAGCATCGCACACGGTCGACACAGGTGAAGCGGAAAGTATTTTCAGCGAACAGGTAGCGGCGGTCGGCTTCATGGTAAACCCTGCGGCATGTCTGGAGGAGCGATGTACTAAGGTCTGGGATCCATTCATTCTTGGGCCTGCAAGTAGCTACGACTGGATCAATGATAGCGGCATCGGTGCTGAAGCAGTAGTAGTAGATGATGTTCTTGATCTCTCCCGGCAGACGGACTAGAGGGGATTGGAGCTGGAGATTTTCAGGAGGAGCAACGGTAACGGAAGCCATATTGGGCAGAACAAATAGAGATTTTGCAGAACGGACGGGAGGTACAGAAGCTGCGAGATATACTCGAGGCCTCTGGCCGCACAGCTTTGAAAACGACTCACACACACACACCCATACTTTTTCAGCTATCGTCGTTGTGCCACTTCTGGTTGGGTCTCAGGGGTTCTGGTCCTCTGCGTGGCTTGCCATGCTGGCTCAGCTTTCGCAACAAAGTGCCGCAATGGGAGGAGCAGGAGCGTGGGAAAGAGAATAAAAAGAAACTCCGACATAACGTTATTTGTCGCAAGTAATATGAGAGATATATAAGTGAGAACGAAATAATTTGGACGAGTGTAAATTTTTGGTGAGGTTGTTCAAGCGCAGGTGGTGAAGGCCGAGGAGGCCCGCTCCTAGTTCTGCAAGATTCTCCGACGATTTGTGGACATGGGCTGAGCATGTCAACGAGGTCTAAGTGGTTGGAGAGAGAGAGCATACCGAGAGCATACCGAGAGCATACCGAGAGCATACCTCAGCTGGGGGTTGGCGAGGCTGTTATCGGCTCTTGATGGGCCTGCAGGGATATGGCGAGGGGTGAGCACAGGGCTGCTGATGCATGATTACGGATCCGTACAGTGAGTAAGATATCAGGTGCTGTCAGCGTCATTAACTGCATTTGAACATACAGTTTCAAAAGCAGAAAGTCACCATGTATTTATTAACCAAGAAGCGCAGAGACGTGTTAGGGCAATGGGTTCCAATGGCTCTTTCGGCCCCCAAAGGACGAGCGCCTGGAGAGCCAATTAGAGAGGGTCTAGGTCAGTGCGGCGGAACCTCTGGCGCATGCTGGCGACGTCGCGCCCCGCCATTGCATTTTCTCAAGCTTGAGTGAGCTGCAAGCCTCGCCGTTTGCTTCCCTAAAACCTCTGTCGACTGTCTTTCTCTTGCACCTGAATCAAAGTCGTTCGTTCACTGCTGAGTCCTTTGTTGCCCCCTGTGCCATTACAATTGCCTTGGGCTGGAAGCGAATCACTGCCCTTCACCCCCTCCACCAGCCATTATTATTTGCCATGTCGTTGCGCGTAGATGACAGGAAGAGCCGCTCGCGTTCCAAATCGCCAGGACGAGAGCGTGACCGATCACGCAGTAATGTACGGGCACCTTCGCCGGGGCCTCAATATTACGCCTCAGCTGCTGCGACCCCGCAACATGAGGTTAGGCAGCCGGCGCAGTCATTTGCGACGTGAGTACATGCCTCTTAGGACTTGAGCGCACGCCATCCCTTCCTCTGAATCATCTCTTCAAAAAAGGTTTGCTGCGAGAACACAAGCTGAGACATGGCGGCCAGACCCCAGGGAAGCGATGCCATAACCATGGGCAACTACGCCGATCTGCCCCCTCACGAGCGCCCCGGCTACATGCAGCAAGCCCAAGCAGCGGCGAACTACCAGTATTCCACGACCGACCGCGGGCCCGCCTCTCAATCATCGCCCACTGGAGTCGCATACGCGCAAGCAAACATCCAGTATGCGCAGACCCCCCAGTACAACTACACCACGGCGCCGGCAAACCAGGCCGCTCCCACGCGGAACCTGGCCACGGCGGCCACGGGCGGTTTCCAGTATGCGCAAACCCCCCAGAAGATCACCTTCACTGCGAAGCCCGTGGTAGCTACCACGCAGCAGCCGCCTGTCAGACACACGTACCAGCAACAGCCACAGCAACCACAGCAACCACAGCAACAACACCCGCAACAACAGCCCCAGCAGCAGCCCCAGCAACAGCCATATTACGCTGCTGCCGCCATGCCGCAAGCTCCTGCACCGCCCACACAGCAAGCGTATCCGCCTCCGCCGATGGGACAGCACTCACCCCAGCCGAGCCATGCCCAACCTAGCCATCAAAGGTCCGCCTCGCATTCAGGAGGACATGCAATAGGCACATACGGCGGTGCGAATGTGGTCGAGATGGTCCCAGGAGGCGGAGGGAGGCTCAACGCACCCCCTTCCCCAAGCCTGCGTCCACATAGTCTGTCTGTCAGTGGGGCCCGCCCCGAAGGCCTGACGAATCGCATGGATAGGTTGTCCGTCAGTGGTAACAGACCTGATATTCAGACTATTGTGCCCGGCGGCATGTCAGGGGGGATGCCACCACCCAGCCCTTTATTGGAAGCCTATCATGGGGTCTACCAGTCAATATCTCCCATGCCTTCCGCTATGATGCTCCCAGACGACGACCTGGATCACCTGCCTCCCTTGGACAATTTTTCCCCGAGGGCTTCTAGCTCATCAATACATGGCGGCCGACATCGCTCTTCGTCGAGGCACTCCCCAAGTCCGCCGCGGAAGTCAAAGCACAAGGACAAGCTTGCCATGGAGGCGTATGGCGGCGGAGGTGCCGGAGGTCGAGAGCGAGAGCGGGAAAGAGAAAAGGAAAAGAGGGTGAAGATCTATGACGCAACCGACGATGCACTTGCCCTAGTGGATGCAATGGCTCAACGAACGCCAGATGTAGACACATTGATCGACATCCTCACCGCGCTGTCTCACGACCAGCTGCTCGAACTCCGCTCCGAGTACAAACGGCACTGCAAAGTGCAGGGTCGGGGAATCAACATCGCGAAACACATCAAACTCAAGACATCGGGCAATTTCGGCAAGATCTGTTACGTAACGGCCCTGGGACGATACGAAAGCGAGGGCTATTGGGCGAACTATTGGTACCAGTCGAATTCCGCTAGACGAGAACTCCTCATCGAAGCGCTCATGGGTCGGCAAAACTACGAAATTCGCGAGATCAAGGATGCTTTCAAGGATAAGCGGTACGGCGACTCACTGACCCGGTGCATGGACAAGGAACTCAAAGCCGACAAGTTCCGCAAAGCTATTTTGATGGCGTTGGAGGGTGAGCGACAAGAGGAGAGCGATGTCTGGCCGATGGAGTACCGAAATAGGGATGTGGATCAGTTGTACAAGGCATTGAAGGCAAGAGAAGGTGGCGAGAGCGCAATGTTGAGTATTGTGGTCATGAGATCCGATGCGCATTTGAGAGAGGTTCTGCGGACCTATGAGAGGAAATATCAAGGGAATTTTGCGAGGGATGCCCTCAGGAGGAGCAATAATCTTGTGGTACGTATACCCGACTTCTCGCCATATACTGCCCACACCGACTAACCTCACCCAGGGCGAAGTAATAGCCCACATTCTCAACGGCGTCATCAACCGCCCCTCCCGCGACTCCATGCTTCTGCACCACGCGCTAATGGATCTCATCGACCCTACCACCGACGGCCCCAAATCCTCCTCGAGCAAACTCTCATCGAAAGAATCCTCATCATCCAAGCACGAACGCCAGCAACGATACGAGCTCTTGATTTCTAGGTTGGTGAGATTGCATTGGGATCGACTGCATTTGATTAGAGTGAAAGCAGAGTATGAGGAAAAGTATGGGAGAGTTGTCGAGGAGGATATCGAAGAGGCGACAAAAGGCGATTTTAGGGAGTTTTGTATACAGGTATGTCAGACGGGTCGGTGAACGGGTGGTTGAGACTGGGGGAAGGCTGGGGGTTTGGGCGCCTGGAGGGCTGATAGTGGAATCGTGTATAATACCTAAGATTGACAATGGAAGCTGCGGCATTGTGGCACACTGCAGAGTTTTTGCAGATCAGCCCGCGGCCGATGCGTGAATGTGAGCTGCAGATAAAACTTCAGCTCTCATCACGAAAGTCGCTCTCCCCATTGTTCCGCAGGATTTCAATGGACCCCGAGGGTTGTCATTGGGTTTGCATATTTGGGGGCGGGATGCCACCGAACTGGGTGGAACTGAAAGATGTGCCGGTGTAGGAAATGGGTATGGGTAACGGGATTTGGTTTGATCTTGCAGAGTCATCAGTACTAAAAAAAAAAAAAATTTACTACAATGTACCTCGGAGTCCATGCTTAACAGTACGGTATGCAAGCACTGGATTGATTGGTTCATACGCGATTCTCGCGCGACGAACTTTCCGATGTCGTGACCTTTGAATTGTTGGACCTCATTCCTCCATGCTGTTTCCCGATAAGCAGAGAGCTTGTTAGATTTCGAAGCAAGAATATCACTACCTGCTATCCCCGTACACTCTCTTACGCCTCTCAGAGTAGCTGGTGCAGCAAATCGTCCCCAAGCCACCCCAATTTTATCGCAGCCTCTTCACTTACCCGTCAAGCTCTCGCCATCTTACAACCTTAGCTGTTCTTAGCGCTAATTCTACTTTCCATTCATTCAATACAATTATCAAGCCTCTCGTACACTATCGCATTCCTGATACGGAAACCTTCCTCCCCTGTGCCACAACAGCCCCTACTGCTGTTACTAAGGCACCTACTGCGTTTACAATAGCTCCTACTACCTTCACTATGGCCCCCCAGCTATTGCCATGGCCCTCACTGCCCCTGCCGTTATAGATGTAAATAAATACTCTGCAACAGAGCACTTAGACACTTACAACACTACACAATACACTTCACTTCATCAGCTTCTTACATAGCTGCATGCTCACACAACCTCTCTATTTGCAACATACCCCACCAACCTGCTCGTCTCAATTTGGATTCATGAAATTGCTGCCTTAAATGTGCGCAATCCCCTCCTGACGGGCATATCCACTTCTAAAGTGGGAATAACATAGATGAGCTTGTGCCCTCCTCGAGGTAGAATGATTTAGACTTAAAGGACAAAATTCTACCAAGTAGACTGCATAATAGAAGGTGACCACACCAGCCATGCAGCGCTATACCGTCTCATTGAGATACTGGCGCTTAGCAACTTTTTGGGATGCGAGTGGAAGGACTCGGGGCCCGTTAGCCAGGTGCATGGACGGGGGGCATGCATTCATGTGGCTTGAGCTCTGTTCTTCTCTAGAACTTATCTTGCCTCAAGAGTCTGACCAGGGCCGAGATATATCTGCTCTGCTATTCTTTGTTTCCTCGGTTTTTTTTTCGGCACTATTAATTTACCTTCATTGTTTCATTGGCTCTCTGGCAACAGCACCTACGGCTTTTACTCCTGGCTGGCATTATTGCGGATGGGTGCTATTAGAGGGAGATTTGAGTATGTTTCTCTCGTTCTCCTCCTTTCTAATTCATCAAGCAGCGGAGTATAGAACCGCCTCCAAAGGCACAACCAACCGTCCAACTAACTAACTCTCTTAGAATAGGACACCGAAGTTGTTATGGTTATACCTCTTTGACACGCCGGCGACTGCAGCTGGAGCGGTAAGAATTTGGGAATTACACGTGGCGTTGTCACAGTAAGTGGTTTGCTATGCCGTAGATATTATGTGCTGAGGATAAGGGTTGTAAAGGGCATGAGACGGGATGCAGAGTTGTTTAACGTACGTAGATAGTTGGTGGGAGTCTGTGAAGATGGAGTTTTAGTTTGAGGAGTTGGGGAAGGGCGATATTTATCGGGTTTGATTTGGCTTGAAGATGTGAGCAGAATTTTTTTTGGCTGTGGTTCACTTTGTTTGCCTGAGATGTGGTGCATAGTATTAAATGAGAGGTTTGAAGTACGAAGGGTGCATAGAAGTATTTTACATATACGTCGGGGTCTAAGAAATAGTGTTAGTGATGGTCCGGGCTGGCTGGTATGAACACTTGAGTTAATAGCGAATTTTCTGCATGAGGTCAGATGCTACATTCTGAATAAAATGACATCAGAAAAACTTAATTCCGAACACTATGCTCTCTCTTTTCATTTCTAAAATATAGAGTTCTTTCAGGGTTGACGTCGCTCGGTGGGTAGCTCTAATTCACGTGATAGGCACTAACTAGAATGGGCTAGCTGTTACCTCAGACCTTGAAACTATCGCAGAGCCTTTTACCTGCCACCCTCTTAACCACTATTCGTGTGTCTATATTTATTTACAGCGTGCCTGCTGTCAGTTTCTCAAGCTTTTGATAGACCAATGACTGCGCATTTGCGCGGGCTGAAGCACGGCTGCCTTGCCATCTTGGCGGGTGACTGAGGCTGAGCGCCGAGTTCCTTCACTTCTACCTTCACCTCTTCATTCGCTCTGTGCGACGTTACTGCCTTCGCGTGGGCACTATTCCTTGAGTTCTTGTTTATTGTTGGACCATTGAGTTTGGCTTCGGCATATGCAATTGCGCAATCTTGTACTCTCCACGCCCAGAGTTTGACTCAAACTTGCTTGGTCCTGTACATAAATCTAGGGGCGCCCACCACAAGATTCCGACACACCTCAAGGCATTGAAAAGCGACTGCGATCCGAGTCGTGGATATCGCGGTATTTGTAAGTGTCATAGTCCAGACCATAGTCCTGCTAACTCTAATTAGTGATAGATTTTTCAAAGGTTGCGAAAATCGCGCCGCTTCAAGTGATACTTGGGCGATGCCTTTCTGATCCACTATGAACACTACTGCAGTCGCTCACAGCCCTCTCGGGGCTCTGCATGAGCAAATGCAATGTTTTGCACTTCCCTTTGGCGTTATCGGCTTCGTCATGCACCTTCTAGCCAATTGGATGCTCTTCTACCTCATCTGTGATGAATCGATTTGGAGAGGTGACACGATTAAATATCCTTTGATGAACTTCTCGATGGGTTCCATGGGGCTCCTCGGCGGCCTCGGTATTTCCATCTACAACGCCATTCGATGTCGCGACTCGTGGCCTCTCATTCTGATCAGCGTCTGGAAAGCAGGGTTTGTGATCGCAACTAATGGAGCCAGTATGCTCGCGAATTGGGCATTGAGTAAAGGCGAGGACAATGCAAATGCCGTGTTTGCGCTCTTAATGTACCCAACTACCATCATCATAGGCCTCGTGGGTCTTGGAGCTATCGCCAGAGAAGGATGGGAAGACTATAGAATGAAGATCGGTAGGCCAGGCTCACTTTCCATTCTCTCCGCTAAGACACTTCGCTTCTCACCCCGTTCATAGTCTGCGCACTCTCGATCGTAACATTTACTACTCTTACAATCGGCATGCGTTTCTTCATCGGTCGAGAGAACCCTGGAAAACTTTCCGAGGAGTTTGGGGAATGGACGGTCGGTTTGCTGATGGGGATTACTATGATGAGTGGAATGGCCTGTGATTGGATCCTTGCGGTCGCTGCTAATAATCTTGATGGTGTGCCTAGTGGTCGGGATATGGAGGTCATTGCAAGTTTCGTCTTCTACTTTGTTGCTGCGTTGATACCGGTTGGGAACGGATGAAGTGGGTATCAGCTAGAGGCTTCAAAATTATTGGTTAACGTCTGGGGTTTGTATGTAAATATACTGGTTTGGTGGTAGAAAGGCGCACGCGAGTTTTAGCAATGGCACCTAGTAGAGATATATACCAACTCGTCACCCTGTCTGACACCTCTCGCAAGTATTTACGATGAATGAACTAATCTACAGTGATTAGTTGGGCCAACAAACCTGTAAGTTGGGGAAGTCACCGACGGTGGCGGAGCAGCACATCAAAGTCAAACCCCCGAAATCTGTCACCAAGTGATATATGAACGTCGTAGACTGTGGTCTCAACTACATCCGCTTCAAGAGCCCCTATATTTGGCCGATGGCCATTTCCATCTTCACAGAAAGCCTCTTCTTCAGGAAGATGTGACTGTCCCACTCATCCGGCGTATCAAAGCAGTGATATATTTCAGGAGAGTTCAATTTATCTCCCAGCGTGGCGATGCAGGTTATTAGTATGCATCCACGTAGGGTGTTTGGTTTCAAGGTCCCCCTAAAGATATATAAACTCTCCCCTAAGTCCTGTCTGGCTTAATATCAAACCCGTCCGGCGTTCAACATAGACGAAATGGATGCCAGTCAACCAGAAATTCGCCACGCTTCCTATAGCTTTATCACCTTCAGCAAAGGATTTCCTGCTTACGAAAATGGGGTTGAGAATCGACGAGAAAAGAAGGGAGATGAAGAGAAAGAGGAGAAAGAGCAACGGGGAGAAATGGAAGAGCCAGCAAATAAGAAAACAAAACTTCCACACAACTGCAGGGCATCGCGGCGTGGCCAGCAACAAGCTCCCCTGCCTTCTCAAGTTCCAACTCCTCGTCGCCAAGTGCACTTTGCTCCCCAGGACGAAGTCCGAACCATCCCGCTGGACGTGGAGCCCACACCATCGTCTGTCCGAGTACTATTCGAACCAGAGACTTACAACGCGATGTCCGATTTCCACAAGGTCCGCGCGTGTATGAGAGGCATAATCTTCTCTCGAAAGCCTCTGGAATTCACGCTCCAGGTTTCGGGGCACGGTATCCGGATCTCGATCCCCGTTCTCTGCGGTCCTGCCTTTGAGATTGGGAACTGCTACTTGGATGTATATTGCGACGCTACCTCGCCAACCCTAATGTTGATGACAACTAATTCCGCTGATATGTACGAGTGGAGGCGGTTGTGCAACGCTTCGACTGAGCGAATGCAGTTGAAGTGCCGCCTCACGCATTCAAAGGGTTCGATCTTCCATTGTTGGATCGTGCCACCGGAGGTGACATGGTACCGGAAGCACATTGAGAGCAAGCTGGGGTGGAAGGATGGTAAGAACAGCTTGGATGAAAAGCCTAGAAAGAGGCCAGAAAAAGAGTTTGGCTCGAATAGGTTGCGGAAGAGTGGGTCCTCTGAGGCTAGATCGGGGCGGAGAGATCGGAATGGAGTGTGCTATTGCTGTAAGCTAGGAATAGGCTTTAGCAAGGGGTAATTTTGAGCAAATTTCTGCCCTTTTATCGTTTCAATTTACATTCTCGATTCGCAATGTTCGATGTAAATCCAGGTCCGATCCACTCAAGTTCTTGGGTCACGGCAGAAATTATACATTTTGCGGATGGATACCTGGTCTTGCCTAAATAGAGATACAGTCTCTACGGCAAATGCGGCGCAGCCAGCCTCAGGAGATTGTCACTCTTTGGGGACGTATTTCAGGGTGGGAGAGGATCGCTCTGGTGATACCTGCGGTCTCGGACCTCTCTGCTTTCTCTTCTTGCCGAATCTTGAAGGCGGCGGCCCTCGTCCCATAGCCCATTACACTATACTCGGTTATTTCGGCTTTAATTTTCACCCTGCAACTCCAGAGCCTCAGGGTAGCCATCTTCCATTTTTGCAAACTCATCTCTCGCTTTGGAACAACCATTAACCCCACCCACTAACGTCCCTACTCCTAGTCTTGGCTTACCTTGAAACCCCCATTACTTCTTACATCTCTCTATGTATACAGCCAAGGTTTCGTCTGTTCTTGCTTGTCCCCCATTTTAGCGCTTCCGGCCGTTTTAATTCTGGATGGAGGGAGTAAGAACAAAACCTCACCGAAGGTCGTCATTCGCCGGCTAACTGTGGTATTCAAGCATCTCGAGAAGTGCTCTGGCCGCGTGATATAAATATCATAAGTTCAACGTCTGGTGTCGCTTAGTGGTGGCGATCGCATTTGGCCGCAAAGGAAAGCGACTACCAAGGATATTGAGGAACTCTAGGCTCTATCCAGGGAATTACTGGTCGCTCCAAGGTTGGCTTTGGGATTAGGACGCGGCAAGGCTTGCGACCTGCTCTTTATTCAGTCGTGTCCAGCTTCGCGTCTGGCTCCGGCAACGGTGGAAGTGGTGACTCCAACCGAGATTCCAACACAGCATGTTTTTCTATCGTCTTCACGATCATAGGCAAGAACACACGGCTTAAAAAGCTCTGTCCATGATCATATCCCTCCAACCACACAAGTTCCAAGCCTTGGCCGGTCCACGAATACCGGCTCCTCCTCCAATCCTCTCGATCTTCCCATGTCCAAGCCAAGTCCCCTCTTGTGATGTAACTGGCGATGGCGTCCGCGTTGACCAACGTATCTCTCCCACCCATGATGACTGTCGTGGTTCTCGACAGCAGGTCTTCTCGCCATACGATATGTTCACGCCAACAAAACCGCCGTCCAAGTGTAAAAGCAATGTCTGGTTCTGTCTGTGCTGCCCACCACAGCTGGAGCTCATTCGCCTCAACAGGCTTACGTCGCGTGAAGTTGTACGCCATGTCTGGGAGATGGAGGAGTACTGCGACGGGGTCCAACAAAATAATCGAGTGCATTCTGCTCTCCAGCAATGAAGATTTGAGAAACAGACTTGTCAAAAAAGTGCCGTACGAATGTCCTACGAAAACAAAGTCGTCCAGTTTATGATGACTGATGATGTCGCCTATTTCGCGCATCAGGTCTGCTGCATGAGGTAGGGCTGTTGTAATCCGGGATGATATCGGGATAATTTCAATTGCGAGAACGCCAATATCCTTGGGTATTTGTAGGAGGAGGGGAACATATGGCGCGAGACCAATTCCAACTCCATGCGCGAGTACGACCGGGCGATGTTTGGTAGACTTGTGCTGGCGGAAGAAGTAGCTGATGCTCGGAGTGACGGACTGCTTGGGAGCCAGTAGGGTCATTGGACGGAGCGGAAACGATTTTAAGAATGCGGAGCGTGGTTGGCGGTAGAAACGGAATCCTGATATCATTAGGATGATGGTAGTTGCGAAATCGACGCATCCGACGAACTGCTGCGTGGTTAACTCCCTAAAATTCCGCGATCTATGAGTCATAAGAACCAACCAAATAGTATATCAAACTCCGATGCGTAACCTCAAACCGATCGAAATTCAGCCTCAAGCTCTTCGCCGGTCCCCAGCCGGGTTTAACAGCCCAACCCAACTTCTCCTCAATCTCAAACAAATACGCCTCCAACTCTTCATCGTCCTCGGCAGGCGAGCCCTCGCGATTGAAAAGAGCCCACAGCATCCATTCTTTGATATTTTCTCGCCTAATATCATCCAAATGTGCGCCGCCCATCCATTTCCGGGTAAATAATTCAATATCTGCGGTTGTCTCCAGGGATTTCCGAAATAACCGCTGCCTCTCATACCTCGAAAGGCGCGGAGGGAACGCGGCACGCTGTTTATGAAGATAGCGTCGGTAGGGAAGAAACCAGACAAGATACCAGAGTATCTCAATTGCGCCAATGCTCTCGATGAATATGGAGACGGGGTGTGCAATTACTCGCACACCGCCGATGGAGAGGGCGAGGTAGAAATAGAGAATACATAGTAGACCAAGGTAAGAGAAAAAGTAGATGATAGTTTTGATGAGGATGTACTCTGCTGTGGATTGCCCCACTAACATTCTGTAAATGGAATTGCAACTTCCTACGTGGAAGAACAGATTTTGTTGTGAAGGGAAAGACGCATCGACCTTCTAGAAATGCTAACCATATCACGAGATCGGAGTCATCGTTTCATCTATTAAAAAAGCCCCTTTCGGGGTTTTAGAAGTTAAAGAGTTGTATGTTTCAAGCTTGTTTTCAAATACCTTGCCCAGCCGTTGCAAGATCCGGAAACTGCAAGCATATACCCCGTATATGTTTCCCATCGCATTTGAACCTTGAAATAGATGGGGTGGATTCACATCATAGGCAGATCTTGGGATAGGTGTGAAATGAAAGGATGTGGATGTTGGATTAAGGTTTTGGTGTTGCGGGGGACCGCCGGTGTTCGGACGATGACGTACCCACGTTTTGGAACATCCGACGTCAGGAGGGAGGGTGACGTGGCAGTAGAAAAGGTTTACTAGTTGAGTCTCTAACTTTGGGAAGGTGTGGGCTTCCCTCAAAATATTGTCGTGAAGATCTTCTCGCAAAAACCATGAGTATTTGTGGTAAACAGATAGCACACGTTATTTCACGCCACACCACGACACGAAACTTGGCCTTATGTCTCCCCGCAGTTTGCATGGGTATTACACTGAAACAGAAAATATTCTGAAGAAAAGTAAGATGGACACACGAAAATGGCACCATGTTCAGTGTGAGACAACTCTTGACCGACAAGGATCCGAAAATAAATCGGACCTTGTCTTCAATATTGGAAGGTCTCTCAAAGCACTCCGTTAGCTCTGTGGCGAGATGATGTACTGATAGTTTGGCCTACATTCTATGCTGGACATAAATGGAATGTCATCCTACTCTGGCTTTTCGTTCAACATGAAATGGTACTGTCTCATGAGAACATACACCACCATAATCATACCTCGGGGAATACTGACAGAGATCAATACTAGCGCATAAAAAGTTGCATCTTTAGCACGAAAAGCTAGGGAAGACACACCTTAAGCTAGTCTAATTTACAATACTATATAAATTATGTAGCTTCTTAGATTCAAAGTTCACAATACATAATTTCTCCCATCGCTCGCCTCCCCCCCTGCATGGCGACAGAAATTAGGAGATTGGATGGGGTATTAATTTTTTGAACTCTTATAAGATAGTACGAGTGCGGGTGAAGAACGAGGGTATTGGCAATGCCTAGAGATGTCATTAATCCAATTAATTGGGACGCTCGGTAGGAAAATCCGATAAGTAGCATTGATTCTTTCTCGATGGTGTTGCAAAAGAGCATGCGAAAAATGAAAAAGAATAGAAGTAATTATTGGTAATATTTTATACCTGAAATTGACACGAATCAACTGGAAAAATTATAAACGATCGATCCTAAAGGAACAGGGGAGCCCATTCTCAATTCCAGCAACCGCGGATGCAACACTAAATAGCTGCAAAAGTGCCCAGGGCGCAGCCCAGCTGATCTGGGCCTGTCAGATTTGCGCACCTACTGTCAAGACAGGAGGAACGCTTGACGAAAGCTGCTACATAGTAC